AATCTGCCAAACTGCTGTTGAGTAAATAATAATATAATGTACTATTCGGGGATAAGTGTCGGTAAAAGACTGATCACATGAAGGCAGTAAATGAAAACCATCACAAATGTTAAAGCTTAAGAGTAAAGTCTGTTTTTACATGTAAATCTTTCAGTGCACTGTTCACCGCACATTGTTCTACCAGTTCATCCATTTATTTAATTGAAGAACTACCTTTAAAGTAGGAACTTTGCAATTTGCACTCAAAGCGATCTCAAGATTAAATAAAAATGTGTCATGTTTTTTTCAAAATTTTATTTATGTTCAAAATCAAGTGTGTGAGAAAAAAGAAACGTCTGTCAAATATTTATGTTGATTCTTTGATGGTACCGAAAAGGTTTGGTTGTTAAAATAAAGTATAAGGTAGTCAACGGGTTTTTTTCCATGTGAGTGAGCAGTGTGTTCTGCCGGCTATCCTCCTGAATTTGGAAAAGGGACCAAGCTAACAGTTCTGGGTGAGATGATCGCAAATGAAGCTTCGGTGAAAGACACATTTATGTGCAGAAAAAAAAGAATGTCTCCACATAGAGAAATGCTACAAACACATAAAACTGTTTCAGTTTCTTTGTGAGCTTTCAGATTGTTGATCAAACAGATTCAACCGAGTTCTTCACAAATTCTGTTTCTCTTCTCTTTTCAGAAAAAGACCACAATGTCACCTCACCAAAAGTGAACGTTTTTTCACCCTCAAAAGCAGAGTGCAAAAACCAAAAGGACAAGAATAAGAGGAAGAAGACCCTGCTCTGTGTGGCCACTAGATTCTATCCGGACCACGTCTCTGTTGTCTGGAGCATTAATGGGATTGAACCTGAGGGTGGCGTGGCGACGGACAGTGCTGCCGTGCGGGATGGAAAGTTCTACAAAATCACCAGCAGGCTGAGGGTCCCTGCAGAAGTCTGGTTTGACCCCCAGAAACAGTTCCTCTGTACTGTCAAATTCTTCGATGGAAAAGATTACATATCTGTGCTTGACTCAATCTATGGTGTAACGGGTAAGATACTTACAGGGATTACATCTCAGACTTTATACCACAAGAAAAGTGTCTCATTGTCTAATTTGCTTTTCAGATGACTCAGGCGGCATATCGAGAGGTACGTTTTTTACTTTGTGGACTAAATGGAAAATGCTAACAGTAAGCTTTAGTGCCCTGATCTCCAAAAACTCAAGGTTTCCTCTTTGACCCCCCCTGCAGAGGTTTATCTGAAGATCACACAGAATGCCAAACTCTCCTATGTTGTGTTTATCGTGAAGAGCTGCGTCTACGGAGCCTTTGTCTGCTTTTTGGTGTGGACGTTTCAGGTTGGTTCTACAGGAGCTTTTGCAATAATATATGTGACTGAGTGAAAAGTAAAAGGTCCAGTGATGAAAAGACAGAGTGTCCGTCTTTGTGTTGCAGAGCTCAGGCAGAAAACAGAGGAAGTGAAG